CAGGATAGAGCAGGGTTTAGGGCTGTTGTGCATAGGGTCGCTATGAGTCGGAAACGACTCGACGGCACATAACAACAACTACAACAAATTTAATACATGTTTTCATCATGTAGGAACTAATTTTTCTAGGTTTACTAATAATTTTGTGTTTGTTTTCACGTATCAATAGCTTAGCTTGTTTATTTCTGTAATCTCTTATTCAGCAATTAAAATATTCATGAGATTACATGTTTAGACACATTTCATATTACTCATCATTGTTATTTCTCATGTTCTTGGTAGATGAAGTTTTGTTCAACCTTTGGATATAAAAGTTCTTTAGAAGTGATTTTGTTCTCTATTTTCATGTTGTGAGTAATTGACATTTTTAATGTACATATTATTTAAACCTCTGTGCTGATATAGACTATAGAGTTGCCCTGCTCACCCAAAGGTGGCCCTTTTCTCGGAGTTTGGATCCACCAATGGCTCCTTAGGAGAAATATGAACAATCTCGTCCCTTATTTACATACAGTCTGAGAAACCCCTTGGATAGTCAACTGTAAGTCAGTTCTCACAAAGTGGCACTGCTGAGTGAGAGAGCAAGTGATACTTAATATATTATATTCCCTAACCTCTATGTTTCATATATTGTACTTTATATCCTATACAATTTGTTGTTGTTATGTGCCGTCAAGTCGCTTGCGACTCATAGTGACCCTACGTACAACAGTCCTAAACTCTGCTCTGTCCTGTGCCAATCACACTGCCTCTGACACTCCCATCCCAATTACTGAATCAATCCACCTCATAGAGGGCCTTCCCCTCCTGCGTTGTCCCTCCACCCTCCCAAGCACGATGTCCCTCTCCAAAGACCTGTCCCTCCTTACAACATGTCCAAAGTATGTTAGACAGAGCCTCAAAATCCTTGCCTCCAAGGAGCCGCCTGGTTGACCCTTACCAGGATGAATCTCTCTGTTTTCCTAGCAGTCCATGGTACCCTCAATACTCTTCTTCACACCACAGCTCAAAGGCATCATTGTTGTTGTTGTTATGTGCCATCGAGTCGTTTGCGACTCATAGCGACCCTATATGCAACAGCCCTAAAACCTGCTCTATCCTGTGCCAATCGCATTGCCTCTGACACACCCATCCCGATTACCCCAGTCACTGAATCAATCCACCTCATGGAGGGTCTTCTCCTCCTGCGCTGTTCCTCTACTTTACCCAGCATGATGTCCCTCTCCAA